AGTGGTGTGTGTGAGTGTGTGTGTGTGTGATGGAGAGGGAAAGAAATAAAAGCTATTTTATTGGATTTGATTAGCAACAAAACACTGTTTTGTTTTGAGTTTTTTTTCTTTTTAATTTCTCCATGTTCTGAATTAAAGTCTCTGGCACCCCCCTACCCCTTTGAATCTTAGGAAAATTTTCAAGATTTATGTATTTTTAGATGGAAGGAATAAGTATATTTGTGTGAAAGCATTACATCAGATTCTAATTATCAGTTTTTAAAAGAAGCTTTGCAATCTGTATAGACCATAGAGCTCTTGCCAAGAGAAAATATGTGTAGAATAATTATATTTTAAAAGGGCAGCCTTCCAAATAGAAAGTCTCCAGACTCATTTACACCCTTCTCTCTTGTAGTGGGTATCCTTGTTCCAACACACACTTTTTCAGTAGAGATCTGCCAAAATGGGTCTGCTTGGGTCTATGTTAACTGCACAAAAATGGCCTTTTTTTTTCCTTTCCTCAGTTCAGGTCATCATTCTGTATCTTCAGGTAATATTGGAGCTGAATGTTGTCCTGGTTTCTCAAAGTATTCTTTGCACATCTCACCCAAGACACTACAGGATCTGGTGGCTACAGAATGAATGGTAATACCTGCGAGTAGGTGCAGGAAGAGAATGTAATGGAGTAAAGTCCTAAAATATATTGCAAAAAGAAAAATGTTGTAAAGATACAGATGTGGGATGTATAATTAACACTGTTGTGCAAGCAAGGAATGGTTAATAGCCTGGAATATTTACCATTTCTTTAGACCAGATAGGCACGCAATATAGCATTTAAACTGGTTTACTAGTAGCAAGTAATTGGGACAGTGATTTTTTTTCCAGGCTGTGAAATTGGCAGTGGAATAAGGTGTAGAATCTCTGAGTGTATCATAGGGTAAATATATCAGTTTAGGAGTTTTATACATTCCTGGACATTTGGGAAATGCGGAAAGGGAAGTTGTCAACTCATACAAAAACTTTTCAATGTCTGCATTGCTGTGAAATCAAGATCACAGCAATCGTGGCTGATGTCATAGCCCTTGTTCTGGCATGATTTGTGGGATAGAGTGATTGCTTCATTCTAAAGTAGACTATTTTGCAATTTTTTAAGCTTCTTTTGCTTCCAATTTCTTTACTAATGTATGCGAATTTAGATAATTGACTTTCAAAATCATTGTATTAATAGAAGTCATAGAAGTATTTAAGGAAAGAGAAGGTGAATAGTTGAGCATCGGATGAATAGGATACTGAAGGGAAAATCAGCACCACAGGACACTGAGGAACAAATACATCTGATCCATACTCCTGCAATGCTCAATTTACTTAGGAGTGTAGCCCCATTCTTGATGTACATTACCTAATGCATTTACTGGTCTTTCATGTAGTTTGAAATTATCTGTACAGGTGTATGAATTCTTGAAGTGACACAGAGCTGATAATATTGAGTTATTGAAGCAGTAAGATCTTAATTTATTACTAAAATAGAAACAATCATACTTCTTGCTAGAAACTGTCAGAAGAATTGAATAAATAATTTCTCCCAGATGTGCTAGTAGAGAGTTGTTATCAACTTTTCATCCTCTTTGAAGCAAACTAGCATTCAGCTTATTACAGGCTGAAGCAGATTGCTAGATCACATGGATTTGTAGACTGATTCAGTCTGGCATCTGGTACTGGATGTGATTCAAAAATGCTGCCATAATTTCTGCATAGATTTCTGCAATGTATCTTACAATAGTCTCCATCTTATTATTCATGATTTTTTTTTTAATCAGTAATTTCCTTTGCCATATGTGTTATTGTTTGTACACATTAGCAAGAATTATCAAATGATATGTCTTTTTCTGCCATCGTGGAAAAATGTTCATGAATTTCTGCACTAACAGAATTTTGCTGCAAGAAATTATTAGTTTTACACTTGGTGTAGATTTGCCCAAAGATCTGACACTAAACTGTGTGTAGAATACAAGTGTAGATTTCAACAAAGATAAAAATGAATCCCTCATATTTCCAAGCCTCTGCTGCATTTTTAATATTCAAGATTTATAGAGAAAGCATAAAATTAAGACAACCCGTGTGAATCCAATAATTTGTACAACCTTGTTGCAGTAAATTCAGGTGATTCTGGAATGTAAACACCTTGTGGGGAGAGGAAGTAGGTAATATCTGAGCACTTGTTCTCTTGCCCTTTAATTTTAATGAAATAACGGAAGACCAAGAATTAAAAAATAAGTGCAAGCAAGAAGGTGAAATGGGATAGAAACCCAAAATTGCTGTGGACACAGTGTCAGAAAAACTAGTCTCTCACAAATCTTCTGTTTTTCAGCACAAAAAATAAATGTCTTTTCTTCCAGTGCAATGCAGCTTGTAGCGCATAAATCAAGACACAATAGCAAGCACTTATTCTTTAGCCTAAACTGCTTTCTGGAAAATTTCAGGCGCTGAAAATCAGGATTATTTCCTAGTGTTGTGTAAGTACAGCTAATGCCAGCTTCTTGCTCTTCATCTTTGCATCTGAATATAAGTTTTGCATTCCCTTTATTGTTGGAGAATTTAGTTAATTTTAAATTAATCAATCAGCTATTCCTCTGCAGTAATTTGACACTGTTCAATGTTGAATTGACCCACAAATTGCATAGCTTGGTGTGGGTTACAAATAAGCATGCATTTGCACATTGCCCTGCAGTGTCATCTAGGAAACTTATGTCAAAATCAGCAAATTTGGTGAACAAATACAACGTGATACATCCCAGCTACTGCAGAGCATTGCAGCTCTGCTGAAATAGGTGGAATGGTTCCACCTGAGTGATCCTTGTGAAGCCCAGTGAATACAGCTGCAACCATAGAATTGCTATTCCTACCAGATGTAAACCTTTTTTTCTCCAATATATTTTGGAAAAAAAGCCTGTGTTTAGTCTAGTCTTTGTATTTCAGTCTTCCTTTGTTTTGGGAGCCCTTGCTTTTCCTGCTTTTTCTCCAGCTAGGAGAAGCAACTATAATTGATTCTCTCTAGTATAATCCAAGGGCTCAGATAAGACATGCAATACAGCCTGATTTGTTACCAGCTGAACACAAAACCTACAGCTGGCAATCAGAAACACACCCAACCATCTCAGCTTTAGTGCCAAATCCAATGACAGGAGATGGGAGTAATCTTGTTAAGCTTCCCTGTTTACAAATTCCTGTCTCATAATTGCATTATTTTGCTCTGTGATATTATGACTTCCAGGAGTATGCATCAACGTAGTCTTCACAATGAAGCCCAAAAATTTTATTTCATATAGGGATACTGCTAAAACAGTTTTCTGGTTCCCTTTAAATTTCTGACTTTTTTTTTCTTCAACCTTTCTCATCATCATTTTGATTCTTTTATTCTCTTGATGTGTGTCTGTAAGCCTCTAAATGATAATGGAAGGAAAATACCAAGTTTTTACTAAGCAGAGTGTAATGAAACAGCAGGAAGTTTTGAGCCATTTAATTTAAAATAAGGAGGAAGAAAATTGATATTAATTATCTCAGACTACATTATCTTTTCATTTTGCAAGCAAGGAAATATTTAACACCTTGGAAGCAAAATACTTTAGTTTGGACTGGAGAGACAATTTAAAATCACATGTGGGGGGCAGCTAGATGAAAGATCAGAAATTAATATATTCACTGAGCAAGAGTGATGAGATGAAAAAGTAGACAAAGAGGAGACTAAGCCTGTGTTCGCTCTGTGCCACAAACCACGACCTCTTCCACAGTCACAAAGACCTATTTTCAATTTCAAGTCAATAGCTATAAATGTTAGTAATTGCCTTTAACTCCTTTCTGTAGCTTAGCTTCTTGCCCCATTACCAGAAACCATTTAGTTTCTCAGTAATTCATTTTCTACATAATCTCCTTTCATATCCCATGTTTCCTCTATTGTGTTTCACCTTGGGCCGTACATCATGTAAATAAAGTCTGTATCCATAATCCCTTTACAATTCAGCTAAAGAGAATTCACTCTTGAAAACTCCATTCTAACCAGTGGCCATTATAGAAGATGTTTTTAGTCCTCATTAGATGGGAAAAGTCTACGAATATTTTAAAAGCTATTTCAGCATCAGTGATAGAACCTTGTGTATCTTTTCAAAGCTTTTAGATGTATTTAAAGGATGGATATGGAGCAGGTAAAGGATCTGAGAAAGAAATTCACCATACTGTAGTTGGATTTAAAAGAATCCTGTATTTAAAATAATGTTTAAGTCCACTTTATTGTAGGATAGGCACTGATTAAAGGGACAAAAACATCCAAGAAGTTAAATTCAAGCTTTTTATTTTATTTTTAAATTATATCTTGAGATTAATCAGAGTAATAGCCAGAAAAAAATGTGCATATTGGTGTTTAAGGCAGAAAATATTGAGTTCTGTACTCTTTCAAAATGAGCAAGAAACTCCTGTAATCACAGTCTGCAGTCTGATTATCTCAGAAAAGACAAAAGTAAAGGATCAAGTATTTGTGTAAAAGGCTGTTTAACACTTACTCTAATCATGAGGTGTATATATTTTTTTCTTTAACCAAGTTTGACTTTGCATTTCAGATGCCATCAAACTCTTGCTCTTGAAATAATTAGATATTTCCCTTTTTCTTCTCTGAAAACCAAATGCCTGTGAAAGCTTTTGCCACTCTCTTATGTCATCTCACATTTGTTTGATGTGGCTACAGGTGATTTTACATACTTGGTCTTAAATTTCAGTTTATAACAAATGCGAAGCCCTGCTTCATTGCAGTTTTAGGTACTGAACTGCAGCAAGTGTGTGCTGTACTAGATAGGAGTAAAAGTCTTGCATAACATACTACCCACAAGTTTTCCATGCAATTAGAGGCAGTTAAAGACTTAAGAAATTGGTTCCTCCAAAGTCTTTTATTACAATAAAAAAAACAATTGCTGTGTAGCCTAGGAATAGCCATTAATTTTTTTGTCCTCTCTTTTGCTCTTTTTCTTCTCCAGCTTCATTCTGACTTGGACAAGGGAGTGGGCAGTGTTAAATATACCCTTTCAGGAGATGGTGCAGGCACAGTTTTCACCATTGATGAGACCACGGGAGACATTCATGCCATAAGGAGCCTAGATCGAGAAGAAAAGCCTTTCTACACACTCCGGGCTCAGGCTGTGGATGTTGACACCAAGAAACCACTAGAGCCTGAATCAGAGTTCATCATCAAAGTGCAGGACATTAATGACAATGAGCCAAAGTTTCTGGATGGGCCTTACGTTGCCAGTGTCCCAGAAATGTCTCCAGTCGGTGAGTAAGAAGCTGCAAATTCTTGATAACTAATTGTGTATTACTTAATTGTCTCAGCGTACTTTTCTTGCTGAGAGAGGGAAGAAATGATAAAAAACAAAACTTCTAAAACTTATTATTGGAAATGTTTCTAATATTCTGTGCCTAGATGTACACAGATTACAATTTTGTTTTAGCTTTGTTTGCTTATTTAGAAACTTATTCTTCTGCAATATAAGTACCTGTGATGTTAAGTTTCTGAGGGTAGGATGAGTCAAAAAACAAAAGATATTCAAGGAAGGTATGATAAGGTCCAGAGGGTCTCTAACCCCAAACCTGTTATGTCACATGATGTGATGCATTCCCCTCTCTTCCTAGTTTACATTTGTTGTTTGCTGGAAAAAACTATATTGCCCGTTTGCTGCAAAGTATCTTGTCATTTAAATGATTTTGTCTTTGTGGCTCTTAAACTCCTACAGCACTAGCATGATCTCCTAATTATGCAATAGAGGGCAATTCTTTATTCAAGTCCTGTTTTACTCTGCATGCTCAGAGTAACTATTGCCCTTGCCTTGGTCACAATGCAAGAATGAGAGTCTGCAAGAGTGGCTCAAGTTGTCAGAAGCCTAATGTTTAAAAAAATCTTTAGTGCATCAGACTCCTAAGTTTTTAAAAAAAAAAAAAAGAAGATTGCCTGGGAACATGGTAAGTTTTCGAAAACCTAGTGTGCAGAGGACAGAGTAATTTTCTTTTCTGAGAAAGGTGGACTGAAGTAATGATAGTGAAGTACTGGAATAGGTTTTTGCTTGAAGAATTTTCACAACACGATAGATATTTGCCAGGAATGACATAAAGAGCATGGATCCTGCTTTGGGGCAGGAGAATAGGCTAAATGGGCCCTTTTGGTCTCTTCCTGATGGCTGATTCTCCAGTGGTCCTGAGCAGTGTGTTTGTAACACATGCACAGTGCTTGTGTCCTGCTGCCAGATGGCATTTTGGGTTTCCCTGCAGGCACCAGAAATTAATTTGTTCTGGGCTGGGAGTAATTTAACTTCCCAATGCTAGTTCCAGCTTATTGCCCTTCTCTCTCCTAAACTGCTTTTTCCCAGTACTTCACAAGCCAGTACCAGGCATTTAATACTCCTGGTAGTTGTTAACACTTATGGAAGTTTTCTGACTTTAAAGTGGCAGAGGGATACTGTTCCCCTTCAGCTATGCACCTCAGATGTTGATACTTTTAAAGTCAATCTGGGAGGTGACTAGCTGTCTACACAAGCATTGTGTACTACACAGAATTAATGAGGTATTATTTAAAATTTTGTGGTAAGGAGCAGTAGAATGCTATAGAATATGATAAAATGCGATGTGAGTAGACATGTAGAGATGATCATGTTAATCTTAGAGAAGTATTGAGAAGCATTCACTGTAGTCACCTACAGGACTCTGTCTGTAGATTCACAATATAATGCACTATTGTTTCCCCTAATGAGATGCATAATAATATTACTTACAGTTGTAACGTGTATAGATGAAAAACATTTGTTACATTTTGACACCTGTGTCTGTGGCAAATTCAGAATAACATTTCTCACCAGTGAGCATATTCTTGGTAGTGAAATTGTGTTTAAAACCTTATCAGAAAGAAAAAATGAAACTCAGTGATGGTGCTAGTACAGCAGAACACAGCGCCTTCATTCATTCCCTTACTCTGTTGTTCTACCCCATCTTTCTTTGTTATTTTTGTAAATATGTGTGTGAAGCAGAAGATTAAATGCTAACAGAGCTTTTACTTCGTATGAAATACTCTTCAAGGTGTGCCATATATTGGCAGCTTTTACATGGATGAGGAGTTGCATGAATAAATGAGATACAACTTAGCATGCTGTGGCATTCATGCAGCATTTTAAAAGAAATGCCTTTCAATTTATCCTCCTTTAGAAAAACAGAAGTAGATGCCATGGCAAAATAGATCTTCTTGGTCTTCTCTTTATTCGGTCACGCTCACTATGTATATTCCTTTATAAAAAAATAAAAGATGGATGAAAATTGATCAGAAAAGGCAAGACAAGGAAAGAGTTCCCTAAATGGAAGTCTAAACTTCAATTAGTGGCTACTAAGCAGATAAGAATTTTTGCTGTTAGGTTGTCTTGCAGCAAAAATATCCAGAAATGCCTTGTCTTCTCTAGTGTGTCAGGAGATTGTGCCTTCTCTGATGTAGGTCTTGCTATTCTCTTGTTCTCTTTATCTGTTTTTCCTTCCTTATGCAAGCACTGATTTCTCAGAGGATCTAAAACTACTCCTTTCTATCATCAGTACCATTTAGTTGCACCTTTGGAAATGCTGAGACCTACCAGTGCCTGAGGCTGACACTGAAAATCACTTTGATTTTTCAGCTGGTGCAGCATATGGTTGTCTTGGCTTAGGAAAAAACCCAGATCCCAGATAAACTCTTCCTCTCTTTTTTTTTTTTTAACATTTTCATTTTCTAGTTGCTACTTTTTAAATACCAAATGTTCCAAATTTCACTTACTATAGTTTTACAACACTATTGATTATAAACTGCACTCATGCACATATTTCTTGGGAAATTGTGGGAAGTTCACTGAAATACTACATTTTTTACCCTTACTAGTCTCTTATGTGAGCCTGACAAGTTTTTGTGACTAGTGGCTTTCAATCTTTTATTGTTTCATGATATTTGCATGCAAAGGTTTACCCAGTTTGGTACTTTATCCCAACGTTATTGGTAATATTATTAGTAATGGTACTTTCTAGAAATTGTCATGGCTACATAGTTCTCAGTTTTATAATGTCTCTAGACTTCCTAATAATTGCTATTGCTGAACCTGGGATGGCTGAAATAATGCCATAGCATTCACCTCTGGAATCAGGATTGCAGTTACAGTGTTATAATAAAATCGTACATCAACTGGACCTTAGTAATATTTTACTGGAAAAAGTGCAAAAAAAAAAAAAGAAAATTCATGGCATTCTCAAGTTCTGGTTTTCTAAAAAGAGGTATTACTTAGATAAACCTGTCATAGCCTTGTTTTTCACAGTAGATTTTAGAACTTTTGTTACTTTCCTTGCACGTTGAAGGTGGAAGTTTTCTTTTGCACTTCAAATTTACATTGAGGGCAGATTGAATTTTCTCCTACAGTTTCTGTACTCTAGTGTTTGTTTTTCCTTTTAATCAATATCACTCATTAAAGGAGATAATGGTAGTGAATATCTTTTCATTATTTTCTGAAAAGACAGTTTTAGGACTGCTATTTTTAGTTAGTGGCGCCTTCCTTACCAGGAGCCAAATTCCTTCATATGCTCTTACGGAAAAAAGTTAGAAGAATATTTACTCAATACAAGTTGGGATGCAAACCTCTTTCATGCCAAAGTTTGACTGGACAGCCAGCCTTGCTCTTTCCATACATGCACTGTAATCTGTTCTTGTATGATGAAGAGGAAAGTCAATCACAGCCAGAAACAAGAAAGATCTTCTCTTGAAAAGCCCCTTGGGTTACCAACTGTTGTAGCATGCAGGCTGCTGTACCCATCTGTGATTTCCAGTGCTTCTGATAGTTTCAAAGTGGGCACAGCTTCCACACTGTAGTGGAAAGATATCAGTGCCTCCAAAGTTGACATTGTATTGCTCACATGATAAATGGGGTGCATAATACTTTATGGTGAAGATTTTATTTTTAAATGACTATTTGATTTTTTTTATTATTTATTATTATTTAAAAAAATATTTTACAAACTATTTTAAATTCCCTGCAGAAAAACTCAGCAGATGGAGTCAAATTACAATGCAGAACTAATATTTTAAGAACATAGATTGCTATGCTGTTATCTTATGCTCAGTAAGAGACTTATAAAAGCTTAAGAGCTGAACTCCTAATGTTTGTTGTGGGGTTTTGTTTTAGTTTTTTTTTTTTTTTCTGTCTGATATTGAATTGATTTTATCAATATCTTTATTTAAAAATATGCTCTTGGTTTAATGTAGCTTCCAAAATGTATAGTGAAACAGAAATGTGGATTTATCTATGAGAACTGAAAAGGGTTCCCTAATATCTCCATTTTTAAGTTTGTAATAGCAAAACATGTTCTCCTTAAGTATAGTTTAATCAACTGTGTTGTTGCTTCTGGCAGCTGTGCCAGCTTCTGTTGCAATATAGTTGACGTAAGCATGCAAATATAGCTGAGTTTAAACCAAGGTTATCCCCTTATTAAAGCTATCAGTCCAGATGACTGAGAATGGGGGCAAAGCAGCATTAAGCACACATTCAAGGAAAGATATTATTATATATATATTTTATATATTTATACATAAAAACGTGTACAGAAATGCATTTGCTTCCCTATGCATTTCTTTCACTGAATATGCTGATTTTAACAGCAAATTTATAACCTCTACTGTCACAGTCTCCTAATTGTTTTCTAAGGTCTTTGCATTATTCTTCTATGCTTACACGTAGACCAGCTAGGGCTGGACTAAACCCCTCAATTCCATAATATACAGATACCATATGTTCTTTCCTACGCAATTTCACTTCGTACTTTTCCACTACATTAACTCTTTATTGATTAGACTCTACAAACCCCAGATGACCATAGCAGACTAAAATGGTCAATGATACTAGAAAGTTGATATCAGGTCATTTTTATTGTGTTCCTCAGCGGTGCAAAACAGCTTCCTGAAGAGTCTTATGGATTTGCTTCCCATGGTACTGTCAGTGTGAAAATAGTCTCTATAAATTTTCTAGCAGTTTTCCTTCTGGAGTGAATACTTAATTGGCTTTTATTTAAACATTGGCTTATATAATGGAACATATGTTTAATATATCCATCTATGTAGTTACATGTGCGAGAACTGCAATATGTAGAAAACTACCCTGGTGAACCTGCACTCTATTTTGGCTCAGCTTAGCACTGTGTGCCTGAGTTTAGCCTGAAGCTTACAGTGAGCAGGGGCTGGGGAAGGAAGGACTATGAGCAAAGGCTGAATGAGCCTGCCTTTGATATAG